TAACTTGACCCACTTGCATGGGACACCTTGATTATATGTTATGATAATATCATTATTTGTACCTTATTTTAATCTGTAAATGAAGTTCAACATATTTCAAATATTATGTATAATATGGATTAATATGCAACTATAAGCATATGATTTTAAAAAAAATGAAAGCCCATGAAAATTCTCAACTGCAGAATTTTTTTTTTCAACTCTTAATACTTAATTAGAATAACCTACCTGCTGCACTGAAACGTCTATGACACTAGTCATTAAAAATATTTTTTACAAATAAGCTACTCATTGCTTCAACTTGAAATAATTATAAGTAATCTTTGAAAGTTGTTTTAATGTCGACAGGCTCGCTTTTGGTTGCTGGGGGTCTCTCCGACCCTTAGATCCTCCGTTAGTTACTTTTCTGAACTTTTAGCAATTTTTCTTTGGGTTTTGACCTTTAATAGGAAAATTTGAATGTTTGATAAAATGACGTATCTGACAAAGTTTGACCTGTACATTTATAGATATATATGAGCGAGTGGTCAAATGGGGTTTTACAGAATTTTCATAAAAGTTAATGTGATATTTTCATCTCTGGGCAATTTACAGTGAAAATAATTGAAATTTCCTAATATTTCGCCGATGGAAGCTTGTGTAATTAACAGTACTTTAAAAATGTTTATTCTGAAAGTGGTGCAAGACTTTCGCCCAACATAATACATGTGGATGGATGCATGATGTGAAGTTGAGAGTATGTTAAATTGCGTTGGGAGTCGATTTGTTTACTTTGTGTTGTCATTATCGTTTCGGTTTGGTCGTCGACTAAAATCGCTTATTAACCCTTAACCTTTAATTATTTCCTGTGTACATTTACATTAGAGTACAATTTAGCTGTGGTCAATTTCAGTAGTACTGGCAATACTCTAAAGCAAGATATGTGGATTCTGAAAGTGGAGTATGTGGGATTGTGGTATCATTGTAAATGTAGTCCATATTTGGATAGTGAGCTCTTTTCGACCACTTCAGGTTTTGTTTGTTTACACCTGTGATTCTGTGCATCCAACCTAACCTAACTAACCTCACCATGAACTCTTCATTATTTCCTACATACATTTGCATCACAGTACAATTTAGCTGTGGTCAATTTTATTAGTACCAACAGTGCTCTATAACTAGATATGTGGATTCTGAAGATGGAGTATGTGGGATTGTGGTATCGTTGTAAATGTAGTCCACATTTAGACAGTGAGCTTTTTTCGACCACTTCAGCTCTTGACTGCTCACACCTGTGATTCTATGCATCAAACCTAACCTAACCAACCTAACCTAGCTATGAACCCTTAGTTATTTCCTACATACATTCACATCACAGTACAATTTAGCTGTGGTAAATTTTAGTACGTGGCATTGTGGTATCGTAAATGCAGTCCACATTTAGTAGTGTCATTATCGTTTCAGTTTGGTCGTTGACTAAAATCGTTTTAGTCCATTAACCATTGACCCTTAATTATTTCCTACATATTTTTACATTACAGTACAATTTAGCTCTCATAATTTCAATAATACAATGCTCTCATAATTTCAATAATACAATGCTCTTCTAATTTTAGTAATACAATGCTCTAATAATAGTTATCTGATTCTTGAAATGCATTATGTGAGATTATGGTATCGTAAATGTAGTCCACAATTTATACACTGTGCTTTTTTCGATCATTCTCTTATCTGCTTACACCAGTGATTCTGTATATCTTAAAGGCTAAAAGATCGACAATTTCTTGTTAGTGGCTGCTGAGTTATGCAACCTGTTGCAAGTGAAATGTACTTTCATTTGTTCGAACGAATCAACGTGATGTGTTCAAGGACGTTCAAAAGTTTCTCAAGTAGCCGATATTGGAATTTGACTTTCGCATCTTTCCTTTTCACCTGGTTTCTTTTTTATGTACAAATTCCTGTTTGTAAATTGGTGTTGTGCAAGCAGACCACTGCGAACACTTTTTGTATCTTTTTTTTGGGGATGTGGTGAAAGTAATGAAATATGACTGCAAATAATTGATACAAATTTTTGTTATATTTGTCTGTATATATTCGTTTATATTTACTCTTTCTGTTGGTCACCTTTTAATTTAATACAATTTTAATCCAAAACTGTGTCATGTGTGTCATATGTTCATTTTTCTTTTTTGTAAAATCAACTCTCATATTTGCCTTAAGATTCTATCGAATGTTTTGTATTGAACTAATTAGATTGTTAAATAGTCGATTTTTAAGCATCAAAAGTTCAATGCATTTTCATGACATAAAAGTATTATTGAATAGAGCTTGTAATATGTCAAATTAAAGCTTGATGTTTGCAGAAAATAACAACACAAATTTTCCCACAAATATTTTTGTAGAATACAAAATGGTTCTTCATCAAAAATCAATTACTCTACACAACAATGTAATAACAAGTTTATTTAACAATTAACAATTTTAGATAAAGATTATCCACAAAATGCTTGAATAGACATTTTTAAGGAACATTAAGCTTCAAATTGATGTAACATAATTGTTATTTGGAAATACCTTTATGTCATCAATTTTTGTTAGAATTAATTCATTAATTTCTAATGAGGACATTTTCAATTTCACAAAATTTTAAATGTAGCGATTTAGAAATGTAAATTTTTATAACTATTTACCTATGAATTTCAAAATAGAAAAAGAACGAAAAGTAATCTTTCATGCAGCAAAAAAGATTAACGAATTTTTGTGGACATCAGAGTATTTTTTCGAGCGCGAAAATTTAACGATATCCCCCATTGCCTGACAATAAAAATTGATGTCCGTATTTTTAGATTTTTATTGCCGTGACCTTTTTGTTCGAAACAGATGATTTACCTTCGCGATATTGTTCGTTTTATTTATTGTACAATTTTTGTCGGTGATAAATATTAAAGAGGAAAGGAAAATATGACCTGGTTTCTGTGGTACTAACATAACATACAAATTGAAACGGGTTAACCTAGAAAACTATGCAGCATGGAACAACAGTATTAAAAATAGTCCCTCCTCAGAAAGCGTAAAAATATTATTCCATCGTGGAATGAGTAATTGTGTCGTAATAAATCATTATTTCCGTCATGTTGTTTGTAATGGAATTATGAAATATCAAATGATTGTACTAATGGGGTAATGTAAATAATTTACGTTTAGTTTTGGGTATTTAAAATATTTATGGTTAAGATATTTTAGGTTTTTTGTAATATTCAATTTTCAGTTCTTTGGAGCATATATTTTAAGTTCTTTGAAATACCCAAGTTAAAGTTGTTTAAAATATTCAAATTTGAATTGTTGGAAATATTCAAGTTTGAGTTACTTAAAATATTCAAGTCTGAGTTGTTACAAATATTCAAGTTTAAGTTACTTAAAATATTCAAGTTTGAGTTATTTAAAATATTCAAATTTAAGTTATTTGAAATATTCAAGTTTAAGTTATTGAAAATATTCAAGTTTGAGTTGTTTCAAATATTCAAGTTTGAGTTATTTAAAATATTCAAGTTTGAGTTATTTCAAATATTCAAGTTTGAGTTATTTAAAATATTCAAGTTTAAGTTATTTAAAATATTCAAGTTTAAGTTATTGAAAATATTCAAGTTTGAGTTATTTCAAATATTCAAGTTTAAGTTATTTAAAATATTCAAGTTTGAGTTACTTAAAATATTCAAGCTTGAATTGTTTCAAATATTCAAGTTTAAATTATTAAAAATATTCAAATATAAGTTTTTTAAAATTTCTAATTTTAATACATTTAAACCACTCAATTCCAATCTATGTAAAATATCAAATTTTAATTAAATTCAATTCAAAATTAAATTTCTATGTCATCACCTATCCAATTTCATTTCGAGCTTCATTTTAGAGATTTCATTTTATATTCTCATTTTCATATTGAATATTTCGAACAACTTGAATAATTCAATTATTTAAATAAATTTAAAATACTTAAACATCGAAATGTATCAAACACTTAGAATATACAAATTTTCCCTTAAGTCGAATTATTCTAAAAAGAATTATATAGAATGTTCCAATACTTCAATTGAACTATTTCGCAGTTCAAATACGTGTCAGAATTTCAATTTCGTAATAATCCTAGTTTGCAACATAATGGTAGAATTATACTCTGACCACTTGCAAATCAGTGTTCTTTATTGTACGATCACCGTGCAATATTATCTATGAATTATTTATAAATTGTTTGAACTTTCTGTGTATTGCAGTAATATTCATTACAAAGTTAACTATCTATCACAATATTTACCGTGCAACGAGGGTTTTCACATCTTCACACATCTTCTGTATTTGTTACTTACTATTTATACTTCTCATAATTAAGTTAATCATTTTTCTTAATTGCATTAATCACTAGTATTTAATTCGTAATTAGTTTCTCTTCATCAAGAATTAAATTTCAATTTTCAACTGTATGATTTTTTAATTATAATTTAAATTGCAATTATTGATAATTACTATAATTTCTATCTAATAAAAATTTTAATTAAAATTAACTTTTGATATTTGATTCGACGAAATTGAATTTTCTGTGTTTAATTAAAAAATCATTCAGTTGAAAATTACATTTTAATTCTTGGTCAAAAAGTATTTAGATATCAAGTATTAATGAATTAATAAAAAATTTCAAATTATTCATCAAAAATATATTTTTTATGAAATTCGCTAGATTTTATTCTTCATAAAATTAATGATAATAAATCATTTGCACAATCCCCTATGTATACGATATTTTTAACGAATAAATATTTTTTAACGAAATATAACATAATTACAATGAAATGTTTGCCTGAGCTAGCTCTTTTTCAGCTGTGTTAATATTAAACCTCTGTTTTATTCCTACAATTATTCTGTCCTCTTTTAAATTATTTTTTGCAATCATAACAATTGTGCAACTATTTGAACACATTCTCAAACAAACCTTACAAGAGAAATAATTTTAATTAATATACTCCCTGTTTTTTAATATTAACACGTTTAATGTCTCACTAAAATCCAAATTCGTTATATTATTTTTAAAATACTTATCTCTTCTTATAATCTCAATCTTTGCCAAACTGCGATGGTAATAAAAAATGTGTTTCATTACAACACCTAATGAATTCTTACATTTTCTATTTGTATATCTACTTAACATGGCACCGAGGTGTTAATATGTTGCAACTAATGTCTATTTAAAAACAGAACTTTCTATCTATGAGAGAAATATTTTCCCTAAGTCATACAAATTTACACAATCTCAAAACATTTATCAAAAATAAAAATTTCCATTTCAATAAATATTATATAACATCCTCACTAGCTCCTTAAATTCATATTTGTCATGATTGTTGCTTTACAATCTTCCTAAGACTAAAAATCAACAAATCTCACAGAATTGCACAAATAAATTATTTCGTCACATTCAACGATCTGTGGTCAGTAAAGTTGCATATCTTTCCGGTTATCAGAAACCGGCAAATCGTGTTTAGAGGATCAGAACGTTGAGCTAATTTTCTTGAAATTTTCTCGGTGAGCGGAATATAGGTCACAATCAAAGTGGACGATCAAGTGTGTTGCAATCGTGCGTACCGATTGTGCAGTAACCACCGGATTTTAAGAGAAACGGGTTTGCACTCTTAATTTTCTCTTTTCCTCATCATTTGAAAGTACCTTAAAGTATCGACCTAAATGTAACACAAGCTTTCGGCAGAACTTTCATATCCCATTTTCACCGAGTTCAATGTCCCGGAATGTTCATCGATTGCCACATATCTGATTATATAACGTTCCTTTATAACCCGTAACATTCAGCTTACGATACAAGCGTATACATCATCCCAGAATTCTACATCAAGATGTGGTCACATTGTCCCTCTTCCGTCTGGACAGCCACTGCTTCTTGATCAGATCCGAGGCCTTCTCCCCGATCATAATCACCGGCGCGTTAATATTACCATTAGTGATCGTCGGCATGATCGACGCATCGATGACCCTCAACCCCGCAACCCCGTACACCCTGAGCTCGGGGTCCACCACAGCCATGGGGTCGCTCGGAGGCCCCATCTTCGCCGTGCAGCTCATGTGATAAATCGTCATGGTGTACTGCCTGATGGCGCAGTTCCAGTACTCGTCGGTGAACATGGGCAAGTGCTTGCAGTTGGGGAGAGGCTTGCTGTGGAACCTGGCACCGAACCGCTTCATGCTGCTGGTTTCGCCAAAAGCGATGGCCGCCTTGACCCCCTCCCTCAGCACGTTCACATCGTCGGGATGGGTCAGATAGTTGTGGAACATCAGCGGGTAGTCCAGAGGATTCTTGGACTTCAGTTTGATGAAGCCGCGGGACTTGGGTCTGAGCATCATGGGGAACACTCCGAACAGATCACGACTGCCTATTTTACCGAACACGTTGTTGTAAAAATCGTCAGCCAGTCCATGCGCGCTCTTCACCTGGGTGCCTCCGTCGGAGCTGGTGGAAGATGAAGTCAACATGAACTCTATGTCCGGCCAGTCGTCGGACTGGTTCGCGTACTTCGTGGAGATGAACCCAACAGCCTCCAGACCGATGTTCGACGTTAAGGGACCGTCTTCAGTGATGGCGTAACGCAAGGCGGAGTTTAGGTTCACCAGACGGTGCATCACCGTGCTGACCTCGTAGTCTATCAAGAAAACCAGACCTCCAACCGCTATGTGGTCTTGTAGGTTCTGCCCGACACCCGGCAGGTCCTGGATCACAGGGATGCCTACTTCTTGCAGGTGCTCCCTGGGTCCGATACCTGAGAGCATCAGGAGCTGAGGAGAATTTATGGCACCTGCGGAGAGGATCACCTCTTTGCGGGCGTAGACCACTTCCTTGCGACCCTCTCTGATGAATTCAACACCGTACGCTCTGCGGGTTCGGGGGTCTATCAGGACTCTGGTGACGTGGCTCCAGAGGGACAAATGAAAGTTTGGTCGCAACTGGATGGGTCTGATGAACGCTTTCGCTGCGCTGCATCGGGTTCCTCTTCGCATGGTGTACTGGAAGAAACCGAAACCTGTTTGCTGCTCGCCGTTCACGTCGAGAATGTCGTATCCCATTTCTTCGCCGGCTTGCAGGAAGGCTACGCCCAGGGGAGTGTTGTATGGGGAGTCCTGGACCGTTAGGTAGCCACCTTGAAGCGATCATTGTGGGTTAGGGGTTATAGTTTTTGTGAAAAGAAGTTATGAAAATTAGGTTATGAAGATTTCTTTCTTGTGAAAAGATGTGGGTGAAATGAATTTGTGATTTCATTTGTGAAGTCAAATGATTACATCAATTTTTGAATGAAATGACTATGTCATTTGTAAGATGAGTTCACTACGTAATTTGTGGAATCAAGGGTCATCATCATTTGTAAAATGTATTTAGTATATCATTTATGAAATGAATTAGCTACTTCATTTGTAAAATGTGTCGACTGTATAACTTATGGAACGTAATAGCAATGTCATTTGAGCAATGAATTTGTTATACAATTTTTGTAAAGTAAAATGACTATGTCCTTCATGAAATAAAACAATAAAATCGTTAATGGAGGATTATAACAAGTCGTAATAGTTGTAAGAGTTTTCAGATATAGTAAGAGGTTCATGAGTGGATGTTGAAGTGTAGTTCTTATATCTTACCGACGCCATGATATTTGTTGTGAGCAAGATACGGGTTTCTTTGGTCCTCAGACTTAATGAAATAAGGAAGGACATCCTTATAACCCCAACCTGGGTTTCCAAAACTCTCCCATTGGTCAAAATCTCGACGATTTCCACGGATGTATAGCATTGTATTCAGGACGCTGGATCCTCCAAGAACCTAAAATTTTGTCAAATTAATACTCAAATCCATAAATCCTCAAGTATTCAAACTCTCAAACTCTGAAGTGCTAAAATTCTCAAATTCTTAAGATCTCAAGCTATGAAGTACTAAAATTCTCAAATCTTGAAATTTTCAAATTCCCAAACTCTCAAACTCTGAAGTCCTCAAATTCTCAAATCCTCAAATGTCCAAATTCTCAAACTCTAAAGTACTTAAATTCTTAAGATCTCAAACTATGAAGTACTAAAATTCTCAAATCTTGAAATTTTCAAATTCCCAAACTCTCAAACTCTGAAGTCCTCAAATTCTCAAATCCTCAAATGTCCAAATTCTCAAACTCTGAAGTGCTTAAATTCTTAAGATCTCAAACTATGAAGTACTAAAATTCTCAAATCTTGAAATTTTCAAATTCCCAAACTCTCAAACTCTGAAGTCCTCAAATTCTCAAATCCTCAAATGTCCAAATTCTCAAACTCTGAAGTCCTCAAATTCTCAAATCCTCAAATGCCCAAATTCTCAAATTCTCAAGCTCTGAAATACTCAAATTCTCAAGTTTCAAAACTCCCAAATCCTCAAATCTCAATATTTTTAAACTGTCAAAACCTCAAATTCTCAAATCATAAAATTTTCATTTTTTCCAACTTCTCAAACTTCCCCAAATCCTCAAATTCTCATATCTACCAGCAAATTCCCCAGCAAATCTCACCTTTCCCCTAGTCCAGCAACATCTTCGATCCGTCATAGCCTGACAAGCCGAATCCTGAGGCTGCGTTCTGTATTTCCAATCTAATTTGCTCTTATGCAAATAGATCGATAAAATCGGAACATCGGTTATTTCTGTCTCGTGTCCTCCAGCTTCCAACAACAACACGCTCCAGTCTGGATTTTCTGTCAGTCTATTTACCACCACACTCCCAGCCGATCCTCCACCCACAACCACGAAATCATACTCTTTCCTTAATTGCTTCGTCACCTTCGGTTGATTCTCAGGATCCATCAGGTCGTAATTGAAGTAGGCAAGTGCTGCTATCAGAACTGGAATAATCGCTAATTTACCGAGCAGAATAGTGGCGCTCTTTATTGCCAATGTAGTCACTGTTGCTATTGCCATTTTTGTTCTTTTAATCCTTCTTCAATTTTTGGGACGAAAATCTTGTTTATTAATTGAGAATCAATTTGGTAAATTTCTGTTTTATTTTGTTGTCACTGACACAATCATTATTTTTGTATTTTAACTAATTTGAAGTTTTTGAGAAGGAAATCTTCATTTATTAATTGACAGTAAATTTAGTAAATTTCTGTTTTAGTTTGTCATCACTTTAGTTATTGACAGAATCATTATTTTTGTATTTCAGTTAATTTGAAATTTTTGAGAAGAAAATCTTCATTTACTAATTCAAAATAAATTTGGAAAATTTTGTTTTACTTTATTGCTACTGTAGCCATTACAGGTACCATTTTTATATTTCAATTGTTATGAAATATTTATTTTTCTTATCTTAAAATTCATCTTCATTTAATTGAAGTTTACTTAATTTCATCAAGTAATTTGATTATTAATTTAAGAAGCTCTCGGTTCCTTTTATTGTCACTAGAGTCATTAATAAATGTATCATTTTTGCATTTCAATCAATTTTCTAAAATTTTCTGAATAAAATTCTTCATTTATCTTGAATAAATTTATTTCTAATAAATCTTCATTTATTAATGAAGTTTTATTTATTTCAATTTTTGATTTCACTTTGTTTAAAATTTTTTTGGAGACAGTCGTAATACTCTTTCGAAGAGATTTGTAATTGCTTGTAATTATCCTTAATTGCTTACGGTTAATTACTGTTTATGGTTAGTAGTAAATTTTAATGAGATAACGTTATCTATAATGATACGAGATTTTATGGGGAATTATATGTGCTTGCATGATTACGACATGAAGAGGTGACATTATGGTCGGTTTGCAATGTTTTATGACAAACTTTTATTGTCTCTGGTAAATTTTTTCTCTTCAGAGAGAAGTTTTATGAAATTTTATTGGTGTCCTTGTATCCAAGCTTTATGCGACGAGTTTTGAATTTCTTGATTTTTATCGTTAGATCTTGTAGTTTCTCGATCGTATCTGAAAATACAAGGCAAACATTCAGTTATGTATTTTTTTAAACATTAACATAAATGTATTATTGCATGAATCATTATTAATGCTATTGTATGAAGAAGTTTTTTAAAATTTTCCTTTCTTATGCTTTCTTAAATTATCAATTTTGCAAATGTATTTGTACATTTTTAAACTTTAACAATTAAAAATTTTTAAGTCATAGAAGTCAACTATTTAGACATGCAAATATAGAAAGTAAAATTTTTAAACATTATATTTCAAAATTTTTCTTATTTAAATTTGCATTTAAAGAAAATTATCATTTTTAAAATTGCATATAAAAAAAATTGTCATGCTCACAAAAAAAAAAATAAGAAGTTGTACATTAAGAAACTTTCAAATTTTCAAAATTGGCAAATTATCTGAACATCTGTGGGTAGATAACATTTGATTTTGAAAAATTACTAATTTAACATGTGACGACGCACTTTTTTCATATTCATCGATTTCGAGATATTTCACATTTCACCTGTAGATCAGTCTTTTTATAGAGTGATTCTGACATTGACACAGTAAAATTTCGAAACAAAGTCTGAGTCGGATGCTGATTATTACGAAACATTTTTCTCATTCAGTAACATGTTACTAAATTAACCTTGGTCCGATTAGAAAGGATTTCTCCTTAAAATTTTGATAGTTTTTAAGAAACAACTTTCGTTTACTAGTTTGTTGAGTGACTTGCTAAATTTATTTTAGTAGACATTTTGAACTTTCTTTAGGAATTAGGTGTTTAATACAAGCTTGAATTTAGCAACTATTTTTAAATATCAACGATTTATAATAGTGATACTTGATGTATATTTATATATAATTTCTTAATCACTATTACAATTTTGTTAACAATTAATATTTTTATAGAAACTGCATTTTGTAAATAAAGAGCAAGTTCTATTTCATATATAGATTTTTTAAAAGTTTTCAATTTTTTTTTTTAAATAAATTCTGCATAAGAAGTTATTATATTGTGACTTAACTATTATACTATAACTACTATACCAATTTATACCAGCTTATTATTTATTATTTTTACTATTCACACTTTTCAAAAAATAATTTCTACAATCAAAATTAATAATAAGATTCATAACAATGATATGTGATACACACTTTAAAACAACAATTTATTTTCATCGCAATTTCTATATACAGTAAACAATTTCTATATTATACACAAATTTTTTAAAAGACAACTTTCAATTTTTTTTTCTTTTTTAATAAAATAGAAATTGTACAAGAAATTATATTATGTCCACATACATCAATTACTCTTTTTCCTATCTTCAAATAGTAATTTGTACGTCACAACCAACAAGCGATTTCCAATTCAAATTTTTCTATTAACAATGCATTTCATAAGCGCCGTGCAATTTTCATAGACAAAAACTTGTTTTATTATTCTATTGTTATACCTGCGTAAACCGTATAATTTCCAACATGAATTGAATGACTCGTTTGAAGAGGAAACATTGGACGATAATTTCGGTAAATAGGATTTCTTGGTATGCACGTTAACGAGGACCATTCACTATCATAAAGAATTGTATAGGTTGCTTCCCACTTACGATAAGGCATACAAGCGAAACGTTTGCATAACTTTCTTCTTTTAACAATGCAGTCCAGTGACATCGGCATTCACGGGCACCGTGTCACCGATCGACCTTTTCGGAACGGATTTCGACTTTCTTTCGTTCATTCTTCTTTTCTTTGAGTCTTTCATTAGTTAAAACACGTTGATTGTTATTTTAAACGTGACATTAACATGTGTATTGCAACTATTATTTTAGTACTTGAGGTTCTAATTTTTTATTAATTTTTGTATGTTATACTATTGATTCACTATTTTGTTATACTACTATTCCACTGTACTATTGTTTCACTGTAATTCTATAATATTATTTTGCTACACTATTGTTCTATTCTTCTATTCATTCTTCTACACTATACTATCGGTTCACTATTTTACTATACTACTATATTCACTATACTATTGTCTCACTATACTTCTATACTATTCTGCTACTACACTACTAGTCTACTCCCCTATTCATTGTTCTACACTATACTATTGGTTTGCTATTTTACTGTACTACTATTTCACTGCACTATTGACTCATTATACTACTATACTATTCTCCTACTACGCTACTATTCTACTCCCCTATTCATTGTTCTACACTATACTATTGGTTTGCTATTTTACTGCACTACTATTTCACTATACTATTATCTCATTATACTTCTATACTATTCTGCTACTACACTACTAGTCTACTCCTCTATTCATTGTCCTACACTATACTATTGGTTCACTATTTTACTATACTACTATATTCACTATACTTATATACTATTCTCCTACTACACTACTATTCTACTCCTCTATTCATTGTTCTACACTATACTATTGGTTTGCTATTTTACTGTACTACTATTTCACTGCACTATTGACTCATTATACTACTATACTATTCTCCTACTACGCTACTATTCTACTCCCCTATTCATTGTTCTACACTATACTATTGGTTTGCTATTTTACTATACTACTATATTCACTATACTATTGTCTCACTATACTTCTATACTATTCTCCTACTACACTACTAGTCTACTCCCCTATTCATTGTTCTACACTATACTATGGGTTTGCTATTTTACTGCACTACTATTTCACTATACTATTGTCTCATTATACTTCTATACTATTCTGCTATTACACTACTATTCTATTCCTCTATTCATTGTTCTACACTATACTTTTGGTTCATTATTTTACTATACTACTATATTCACTATACTATTGTCTCACTATACTTCTATACTATTCTCCTACTACACTACTATTCTACTCCTCTATTCATTGTTCTACACTGTACTATTGGTTTGCTATTTTACTGTACTACTATTTCACTGTACTATTGACTCATTATACTACTATACTATTCTCCTACTACACTACTAGTCTACTCCTCTATTCATTGTTCTACACTATACTATTGGTTCACTATTTTACTATACTACTGTTTTACTATACCATTGGTTCATTATACTACTATACTGCTATTTCACTGTGCTATTGGTTCATTATACTACTATACTACTATTTCACTGTGCTATTGTTTCACTGTAATTCTACACTATTCTCCTACTACATTACTATTCTACTCCTCTATTCATTGTTTTATACTATACTATTGGTTCACTAGTCTGCTATACTGATTCTCATTGCACTTTCAATCTTTTTTTGTTTACTACAAAAATTAACATGTTATCGCCATATCACCCATATTCAAATGACACAAATTTTTTTCACTCATTTCACAAAAAACGATTTTTTATTATCCATTGAGAAATGATATTATTTAATACTCTCACGTATATCTAGCACAAATAATTACATGTTATTAGTGCAATCGATCAGGTTTATCAAGAATAAAATTACTATTAATTAACATTTGTTACAAATTTAAACATGAGAAAGCATTTGCATTTTATCTAAACGTCAATATTACAAAAAAGAATGATGAATATTGTCAGAGCAGTTGATCAGGTTTGTCGAGTATAAAATTACTATTAATTTGCATTTTTAACACCTTCATGGGAGTTCAAAGTATTAGAGCATTTGCATTTATCTAATCGTTAATAATAAAAAAGTGTAATGTATACTGTCAGAGAAGTTGTTCTCAGTTTTGTTCAGAATAAAATTAATATTTAATCAACAAAAAGTTGAAACAATTGAAAATATAAATACTAGATAGTAGTACTTTTATAGTGCTTGTAGTATTTATATTCTTAAGGAGTGTCATCAAATATTCTTATAATAACATTTTGTTGTATTTATTCAAAGTTCCCAGTAGTTGATACAAGTACTTTCAATTAGGCAAATGAATAATGTTGTGAATGTATTAATAATACATGTATGTGATACATTCATATGGAAATTTGAACATTATCCATGTATGAGTGACATACTTGAACATTACTCATATATGTACATATAGGTGACACATTTGAATATTACCCATATATAGGTGACACACTTG